AGTATGTGTGTTTGTGTATATATACTCTGAAAATTATTCAAAATGATTTGGGGTATCAAGCAAGTTTCTACACCACTTTTCAAAGTGGCCCTACTTTTTTCAAGTATCCTGAGGGTGTTGCAACACTGCTTGTAAAGAAGAAAACAAGCAAGCTTGTGCTTATCACCAGGGTCCTTCCTAGCTATCTTTCTCAAGGATACAGTGGACTGGAAGTACCAACAATGGCCAGCCAATGAGACCTCAGTGAGAGGACCCTCCCCTAGGATCTCCTCCTTGGTCAGGGTCTAGCACCTCAGGCACTTGTGAATGGTTGCATGCCTACCTTCCCTTCGCCAGTGTCACATCTGGAAGAAATTGTGGCAGGAAATTCCTTCTTGGTGTTGTCTTCTTTGACAATTACCTAACTCTTCTCTAGAGAAGAGCTGCTGAGCACGATTCAATTACTTCTGCAGACAGCTGTCTTCCAGTCTTGATAAGTAAAAATAGTTCCTCCATCACTCATCATTTTTCTTGCTTATATTATTTTTCCACAAGTGGATAAGGAGGGACATACACCCTTAGGAAAATATTCCAAGAGCTATCTTGGTGAGCATGAGGATGATTTTAGGAGGATGGGTTGAGTAGAACAGACATCTCCTGAGAGCAACAGCATCTGGTTCACAGCCCTAACTGTGCTGCAAGGCTGAGTGGGAAGTCTTCTTGATTCTGTTGGAAATACTCTCCATACCTCAATCTAAGAGCAAAATACAAACGTCATTTCTCTTTTCAGCATGGACATCAACCACCCCTGTACCTACCACCACACCGATTCCTCTCACCCGAGGTGAGTCTCTTCGAGACTGCAGCAGAAACACGGTTCCCCTCACGAATGGGTGGTCCCAGCTATAGCCTGTACCTATTGCGGTTTCAAAGCAGCTAACGCCGGCGTGCGTCTGACCTCCCCTTGTTTTTTCCCAGAGTCCTGCCTGGTATCGGGTGACCCCCATTACTACACATTTGACAAGCAGACTCACCACTTCATGGGCAACTGCACCTATACCCTCTCTCGCCTATGTGACCGGAACAGCTCTCTGCTCCCCTATTTCAACGTGGAAGCCAGCAACGAGCACAGATGGGGCCACACGCACGTCTCCTACGTTGGGAGCGTGGACGTGGACGTCTTTGGCATCCGGGTCACCCTGGGAAAGGGAGGAACGGCGAAGGTAGGTGGCGCTGGCGGAGGACGCCTTTGCTGTGATGCGAGGGCACGAAATAGCGCCTTTGGGCCCGAGTCCCCAACAGCCATGCCCGAATCTCTTTCTAGGTGGACGGGGAGCCGGTCGTCGTCCCCTCCAGCCCCACAGGGGGTGTGGAGATCTTACCCAGCGGCTTCT